TTCAAATTGGGTGCGGCATTGCGAAGGAACTAGAGTTATTTAACAACTTATCTTCGACCTCCCTAGGAAAGTGGAAGCTGTTCCTGTTGCAGATACAGGGCGGCTTTAGGGACCCCGACTTCTACACCGCTGACCACGCGGCTGAGTGTGCCCAGTTCTTTTATGCCCTTTTGTTTCACTCCGGAATGATACCACACATGAGCCATGCGGAGTTGTTGGCTGCTGTGACGGCTGCACTCTGCATGGAGTATGGCCATCCAGGTGTTTCAGGCTGCCTTCTTTCCGCAGCGCAGGACCCTGCGGCCGCTGGCATTCATAGCTGCATTCTACTAGAGCACCGGCGCTTAGAGAGTCTTGGGGAAATTTTTTCACAGGAGCAGTTTTTTTTCTGTGATCATCGGTTGGCGACTGTCTCGCTTCTGGATGATGTGAAGGCTTTGCTTCTTCCAGACGGATGGCATGGGGAGTGCAGCGGCGTGATGCATTCTTGTCTCAAGCTTCTGTCGAGTGGGCCATTGCGGATGGAGAGTGAGTCTGTGCGCTGCCAGCTTGTTCAATTGCTGCTGAGGTTGGCAAAGTATGCTTTTTGCATGCGTGTGTTTGATGTGAATGACCGATACTCGGGGAAGTGGTTTCAGATGATGCAGCGGCAGGCACAATTTGCTGCAGAAATTGGGATTTACGGGTTTGACTTGCCTCACAACGCACTCACCGTCGCGGATACACAACTGCTGCTGATGGAGCGTACAGTCCTACCGCTGTGCCGCATTGTGGTCCAGGCCTTCCCGTCGCTTTATCCGTGCGAGGAGGCACTACGAGCGAACTATGCCACATGGGCCTTGCGTGCTGGGCAACACCCAACGGAGGGTGCTGTGGCGGAGGTGCGTGATCCATTCTTGTTTCCTGCGGCCGATTTGCCGCATGCTGAAGGCATCACACAAGACGCTGCGGCCGCTGACAGCATTGACTCACGGGGTTTGGATGCTGCCCATCGAAACGTTCCACAACACTTAGAGAGTGGCTCCCTTCTTGTCAGCACCGCCTTATTCCTCTCCTCTCAAAAGGAGATGCTCTCTGTGTATGAAGAGAACGTGGCCCTTCGTGGCATGCTTGAGACACTTTTAGTCCCGGTTGAGACTCTCCCTGCATCTCAAGGAGCTGCCCCATGAGTAATGACTCTGCTTGGCTTAAATATAGCTCAATACATCTACCATACATGTTGTGTATAAGACATGACATTTATGGCTGTATTTATGCATCTATACATACATCTCTTATAATACACGGCTTTTGTATATGTTTCCGTTGTAGCGTCCGGATTTTATTTTGTTTGAGGAACAGTAGAGATTGGTTTCTATTTCTGTGCTCATATCTTTTATTTTTTTTGCTTTCCTTTTGTGTGTGTAGGAGTGCTTTTTTTTTTTTTTTTTGATTGGTGCCTTCTTTATTTTATTTTTTTTTTTTTGCGATAACACGCATGATGTGCCCTCATAGAAAGAAAAAGAAGGAAAGAAAAAAGAAAAAAAAAAAAAAAAAAAAAAAAGGAAGCCACAGAAAGCAATAAAAGAAAAAATGAGTGTTTTTCCTGCAAGCGTCTTATGTTCCGCTAGTGAGCTGAGTAATTGTATGCATGTGCGTATGGTGGTGGCGGCTGAATGGACGCTTTTACTTTCATTTTCTTTTTTTTTCTTTTTTCTTTTTGGTTTACTTCTTTCCGCAGCCTCCAAAAGGAGTTTTAAGAAATAAAAACACAAATAAAAGTAAAGCGGATCACTTAAAAAAAAAAAAAAAAGAAAAGATCTTTTTTTTTTTCTTGCCGGAACCACCGCGATTGCGTCGATGTCACTTCTTAGCCTCTGCAGGGATTACGTGGCGGAACGGAGCCGTGACCGTCTGCTTCGGCGATTTTTTTCTGGGAGCATCGCAGCTTTTCTTTTGCTGCTGGTGTTGTCGCCGGGCAGTCGCATTGCCAAAACACTTCATGTACGCCAAAAGAGGAAACTGTTGGAAGTCAAAAGGCAGCGAGGTCCAAGTTTTTCCGCGAATGCGCATGAACGACCGCGCCCTTCCGTTTATAGAAGATTTCTTTTTCTGCTACGAATAGCCGTGCCGTCTTTGAGCTCACGGGAAAGCGGAACGCTAATGATCATCTCGTCACTGCTTCTGTTGCAGACATCTCTCTCACTGCGTGTCCTGAAAATAAGCGGGCAATTGGGTAAGACGGTAATTGCCTGTGACCTTGTGGCCATGGCAAAAAAAATTGTAGTGTTCATGGCGTGGTGCCTTCCTGTTGCCCTCACAAACAGCTCCGTGAATTACTGCGTGGGGATTCTGACGCTGCAGCTTCAATCAAACCTGAGCCGCTACTTTTATCGACGGTATTTGAACCAGAAGGTGTTTTATCCTTTAGCCAGCTCGCACTTTGTGGAGGAGGTTGACCAGCGCATGACGAAGGATATTGAAAGCTGGTCCTTGTCTCTTACAAGCATGTATACATGCCTTTTTAAACCCCTTTTAGACGTTGCGCTGTTTACGTATAAAGTGGCGTCCATCACTGGTGCTCGCGGCTCCCTGGCTATACTCGGCTACCATATTGGGTTTGTGGTGTTTGCCCATACGTTTTTACCGGATTTGGAGCGTATTGTGACTGAACAACTGGCACGGAATGGCGCCCTCGTAACGGCCCACCAGCGTCTTATCTCATATGCGGAAGAATATGTCATGACGCAAGGACAACATTTTCATCGATCTCTCATGGAGAAATATCTTGCATCTATCATTGAGCATGATCAATGGGCCTCCTACGTGCGTGGTGGCTACAGCATCATGGAGATATTTTTCCTCAAGTATGGATCACTCTTACTTAGCTCCATTATTTGTGGAGCAGCTGTGTTTAATAAACATACGGAGGGAATGTCTGCGGCAGATCTTATGGCATTTTTTGTGGAGACATCATATCTTGTCAATAAATTGTCCTTTTCTATTGGGAGCATCCTTAAGAATCTCCGGAAACTTTTTGTTTTGCATGCGCTAACGAACCGTGTGTATGAACTGCAGGAGGGGATCGAGAAGGCGATTGAAGATGGGGCGGGAGCCGTGGCGGGTGAGGTGGTGAGAGGAAATTACATTGAGTTTGACCGCGTCCCGATTGTCTTGCCGACCGGTGAAGTCTTGTGCGAAGAGCTGTCGTTTTACGTGAAACCAGGGATGAATCTCCTTGTCGTTGGCCCGAATGGCTGCGGGAAGTCTTCCATGGTCCGACTATTGGGCGGACTCTGGCCACTTCAGAGTGGCCGTATCATGAGGCCGCGGAATGATCAGATTTATTACGTGCCGCAACGACCGTACATGTCGAATGGGACCCTGCGAGACCAAATTACGTATCCGCTGAAGAGCAGCGAGGCCGGTGCTAGCGAAGCGACGCTGCTGCACTGCCTGGAGCTGGCCGTTTTTGACGACATTTTTGCAAAGCCGAATATTACGTGGGACTCGTCTCTCTCGTGGGCGGGTGACACGCTGTCGATGGGGGAAAAGCAGAAACTGGCCATGGCACGGCTCTTCTTTCATCGACCGCGTTTTGCCATTCTTGATGAGTGCAGCAGCATGATGGACGTGGAGGTGGAGGAGAGGCTGTACAGCGTGTGCCACCAGCTTGGCATCTCCCTCATCACCATCGCCCATCGCCGCTCCGTCTGGAAGCATCACAATTGGATTCTCCGTTTTGACGGCTGCGGCGGATTTTTGTTTTCGCCCATTACATTTGTTGCGGAGGGGGTCGTTGTTCTCACAAATGTCGTCAACGCATCCGAGCCGTTTATGGTGGGGGAGGAGGTGCGGCTTGACTTGTCCCAGTACGATGTGTGAGCGGCCAATTCTTGTGCGTGTTTGATTATTATTATTTTTTTTTTTGGCCGTTACGCTTTTGGCGGAGCGAATTACATCTTTTGCCGGCTTTTCATTTCTGTGAGAAGAGCGCGATATCTACACGACTTGTAGTTTCACGGCAACCACACAGAGAGGGATGCATATCATTTCCCTTTGGTATGCCGTGGGGACACGAGGGAACGTCATCGCACCGTCACAACACCCTGCGGTGTTTTTGTTTGTTTTGTTTGTTTGTTTGCCGAGTGGATAACAGACGAGCACAACAACTGAAACCCCGTGTGCGTGATGTCTTGTGTGGAAAATACTCCCGGCTGTGGACGGCGTGTTCCTGCTTGACATCCAGCACCTCCTGCCCGCACCACGGCTCAGCGAAAAGTCTCCACTTGCCCCTATTATTATTTATTTATTTATTTATTTATTTATTTATTTTTGACAGCGGAGCCGAGCGCAAACCACCGAAAAAAACGGAAATTCCTCATAACAAGAAAATAAAGATTATGTCAACAGAAGTCGGCTATTGGCTTCTCTGTTGGGTCTGCGGGATGCATGGCAGGCGAAACCGTTGTTACATATATATATATATATATAAATTTTTGTAATGCATGTAGGGACCACTATTTTTTCCTATTTTTTTTTTTTTTTTTTGCATTTATGCTCTCTGTCGGCATGTCATTTTATGGTCGGCTTTCTTCAGCTTTTCTTTTGCCTTTTTTTTTCCCTTTTTTTCCCCTTTTTTTCTTTAAGGAATATTTAAGGCAATAATTGGTGTTTGACGGCGGCAGGATGGCAATGGATAGCGCGGAACTCTCTCAACGGGACACGGCGGTGTTGGGTGGTGGACTTTTTACACCTGCGGAGGGCATGTGCACAATTCTCGGGCCGCTTGAGGCTGGGGAAACATACGCGCGTGAAATCCTGCGGAGGCAGTGGTTCCGTGGTTTTTCTGCGCTTAAAGCAAAGTCAGATTTGGAGGAGGCTGGGATGGCGATGTTGAGGAAACACGGACTGGGCGCGGAGGACCCGCAGGAGAGCGATGGAGCGAATGAACAGGAGGGGGAGGAGGAAGAAGAAGAGCTGCACCAGCGGCAGCGACACGTAGGAATGGCGGCAGAGAGGTATAAACAGGAACGAAAACGAGGAGAGTTGCTCTACGAAGAACGCAAGGAGCGACAGGAGATGGAGTGGGAGGAATTTGAAGGCATCTCCGGGCTACAGCTGCAGATGGAGGAGAATTTGAGTCGTCTGGCGCAGGAGGAGGAATCCATGGCAATGCTGCAGCTTATCCACGATGTGATGAAGCCAAGATTTCGTCAGCGATACATCTTTGCGTGGGGGATTGTCACAGCTGTGGCGCATCCACCCCCATGGAGCGAGTTGGATCGCATCCGATGCAGCCAACGCCACAAACCCGTCTACATGCGTTTCCCACCGCTCACGTGCCAAATTCCCATTGAACCGAATCCATTCTGGAATTCATTGGAGTCCTACACTGAGCCCGCCGGTTTGATTCGGATGTGATTGGAGTGGGTGGTCTTGGAATGTTCTTTTTTTTTTTTTACTATACAGGAGAAGCGTATGTCATTTACTCATGTCCCTTCCTTTTTTTTTTTTTTTCCTCCTCTATCCACACAAAGAAGGGAAGAAGAAGAAGAGGCAAAAGAAAAAGAAAAAAAAAAAAATTGAAGTTTTTGGTTTTTGTTTTAGTTTCAGTAGTTCATGTGCCCTTTATTATTATTATTATTATTTACGGGCACTTGTTGTTGAATGGAGGAGCATTTGCCTTTTTTTTTTTTGTTTTATGTTTTATGTTTATCCTTTTTTTTTTTTTTTTTGTATGTGTGCGTTGGCGTGTGTGTGTGCGTGTGTCAAAGTTTTTATTTTTATACTTCTCTTGGGGGTTTTATTTGCGTTCCTTTAGTTATGGGCACGTTGGTGTGCTCCTGCTGGAAGGTGACGCTACGCATAAACAAACACACACACAGAGGGAGAGAGGGACGCCAACTATGAATTTATGAACGCTGTTTGGTAGCGGCGTATGTACAGAAATGAACGGTATTTTGGTTGTTTAAATGATTTTCTTTTCTCCATGGAAATGCCACTTTTATTTTTAGAAGAATATTATTTCCTGTGGGCTTCATGTGTTAGCGCTCTCAATTTTTTCTTTCTTTTTTCTTTTTTTGTGTGTGTGTGTGGACAAGAGGAGTGTACGCCCTCTGGGCGTGTCTGCTGCGTTGGAGGGGCTTTTCTTTGACGGAGGACACACGAGGTTGTTTTAATGACATCACAGGCAAATCCAGACGACGCCTTGTGCGATCATTACCTCCCGCGAAAGAAG